TTCACTCACTCACACTTTCGCACATTCAAAATCTGCTCGTCAGACGTTTTGTGGCGACAAACCGATTTAACACCGGACAAGAAGTAGCGTCAAATGAAGTTGTACCAAACGGAGAAACCACACAATGGAAAGTATTCACTCACACTAACACACACACACAGCTAGTTTAGTCTCACAATAGCCTTGAATAGAAGCAACAAATGGTTGTCGGTATAACTTAACGGGTTCTACGACATGCATAATGCCTTGCTTCGCCTTTCGCTTGCCTTCCTCATTATTTCCGTCACTCCTTTGCTGCATGATGCGGCTAAGCAAAAGTTCTCTGTCTTCTCTGCTAGCGCTGGCTGGTTAATGGCGAAAGTCAAGCGACGATCTCTATCAATTTACACTTGCCACTGCCACTGCTACACAGTCTCAACTTTGTCTTCATGCAAGGCGCTTTGCTATTGTTTGCACCGCTTGTGCCTTGCATTTACTGGCATTTAAATGTCTGCTGGAACTAAAATGCCGCCATTATATGGTTTAAGTGGATGTATGTATGTATGTTTGTTCTGCAAAAATATGAAGTCTGTCTAATAACTCACTTATGGCATAGTAAGTTTAACTTCAAATTTATCTTTATCTTCTTTGACCAGTTTGTATGACAGCTATATGCTATAATTGTCCGATCTAAACAATTTCTTTGGAGACCGTGGCAGATTTTGTGCCCGATTTTGTGAAGACACCTTGTCAAATAAAAAAGTTTTCTTTACAAAGACTTTAGTTTGACCGACCAGTTTGTATGCCAGCTATATGCTATAGTGGCCCGATTTCGGCGGTTCCGACAAATTGGCAGCTTCATTATGAGAAAAGCACGTGTGCAAAACAAAGGACTACCGTCACAAGTTTATCCTAGCAATATCGATATCTAATCAGGGTCTGTTTTATTTATTTATAGATTAAGAGGCAATATAAAAATGCGAACCGCTGAAAACCGGGCACAGTATGACAAATAGAAATGAAGTCACTTGTCACTGTCAACACTCTCCACTGCCACCCTGCTAGCCAAGACACTTTTGGCCGATATGCGACACGAGGACATTGCTTTGGATGCTGCTTGGCTGTCTACGTAAATATTAACTCTAGAATTACCTACTGATGCATTAGAGGCTAACTTTTCAGACTTCCGAATAGCAAAAACTTCTGCTCGAATTATACTACAGTGATGCGTCATTTTAAATGGCTAGTTTGTTCCGTCCTCCCTTTTCGAGTTTTCCGTATAAATGTCTAATGTGTTGCGTATAGGTACCATGGCTATACGCCAACCATCTATTTCTAAGTTTGCTCTGAATCTCCTGCCGAAATCAAAAATAGGAACATGTAGTCGATATCAGTAAGACCACCATTACCCAATGAGCTATACCCGAAGGTTCTACATGTAAATTCTCCTGCAATCTCAAGCCAACTTGCCGATTTTGCCACGTACTTTTCGGCGAAGAATTCTATTGCTTTCCGGTTCTAATTTCTATTCAATGGCTGCCGGTATATAGATTTCCGTATGTCTGTCCACCACACTACCGCACCGCAGAGCGAAATAAGTTTTATTATTATTGGTGTGTAGCACCAGTGCATGAGAAAGAGATACAGACCCCAGTTTGTGCGTAGCATCTGCCTACATGCGTACAAGACATTGCTGGACTTGCATACTCTTTGTTCCACAGCACTCCTCCTTGAGAGAGAGCGAGGTGATTCTAACTTATCTTTCCATTGTAATATGAAGTGTGGATCTAACAAATTTAATAAACCTCGAAAATTTATTTATCCTTGAGGATACCCAAAACATAGTTCTAACCAGAAATGAAAAAAAAAACTACATTTTTTCTTGACATCATTTGGAAGTTTAAACTGTCAGTAAAACGTAATATGTTTTGGCAGCTTGGGCTCTCAGTATCTAGTCAATTCATCTCTGAAATGGATTCTAATGACACAAACTGATTTCAAACAAAAACGTATGGTTTTTCCACCATTAAATAAATACAATTTTTATACATATCTTATAACTATTCAATTATCAATATTCATTATACCAGATTCAAAGTTCATAAATCTTCTAAATCGTAAGCCTGACTCAGTGCATTCCGGGTTTCTTGAAGAGTTTCTGACAGCCAACGAGTTCGTTAAACGATGATTCTCTACTTTACAATCAACAACAAAGATCCTTGTCAACAATAGCTTTGGTCTTGAGTAAATTAATAACCGAAAACAAATTATGCTTTCCATTTTTTCTTTACTAGTCACATAATATTTGTGCATTAATTTTGGTTAGCAACAATAAATATAAGGGCAATTTACTGCTCAGACCAAAAATAAATAAAGCAAAGCCTCCGCACTCTATATGTGTATATATATTTACTATTTATGAATATATGCAGATACATATATTCATATGTATGAATGTATATATTTGTGCACGACGCTACAAAGGACTTCAGCATTCTGACGGCATGCCGTGGCGTATGAGCAACCTCCGTCAATAGTAAATTGTTGGCATTGAAAGCGCTACCACAAGACAAAGTGGTAAACAAAAGCGAGATAAAAAAAAGCGCACGAACATCAACAGCTTATCGCTGTTGGCAATTGTAACTTATTTTTCCGCCAACTTTGTCGGTTGAGCAGTTGAAATGCCAGCATTTGCCGGCAATGTTAACCGTCAACGACGACAGCCCAAAGCACAAAAAAGTTATTGAATACAAGGTGACGGAGACAAGACAGAAACACAAATTGTTTGCAGCACGCCACTTCATACATATGTATGTACGTATGTATGTGTGCAATATGTTTAATGTTAAAGCATTGTCTGATAAATTAGCTATCAAAATTGGTAAACGTCGGATTAAGCTTAAGATAAACTGTTGTTATGCCACAAATGAAATATGCCTGCCTAAGTTGGTTATTATTTCCCTTTTTCGTAAAGTAATAAGTATTTTTGTTTTTTAAATGAAAAAAAACTTTACGGTACACATGGTTTTCACATTACTTTACAGCAGGCGAATAATTTAGTACTATCAATAATACTCGTATACTCTTGTATTACCAGGCCTGCGACAGTGTTGATATGTGTTAACAGCAAGCTGATTTGCAAAACAAAAAAAATTAATGAAGTGTGAAAATGTTTCAGAACTGATTCGTCCGTCAATTATAAATTTTTTATGTATGTTATATAAATCCCCGATCTTACACACCTGAAAAGAAATTAGAATGTTTTGTGAAACGTTTATTTGAACTTAATACAGCAGAGTTGTCTATTGAGGACATCAACTGTATTCCAAATAACGCCGCGGTGTCCGTGAACGTTTCTCCTGCTAAGCAGACAACTATTATACTATTCTATATAACACACTGATAGTCATTCAACGTATTTGATCATGACCACAATTGCCTCTTGGTGGAGCGAACAGCAAACATTTGAGTTCAGCGCGTATAAAAAAGTCACAGCAAGTCGAAACGTGATTGATAGGGTTTTGTTGGAAGTATATATTTTGACAGCAATATTCAAAGCTTTTTTCGCATGAAAAACTAGTTTTACAAAGAAAGTCACTGAAATCAACATTATTTTTGAGATGGATGACACACAAGAAAGAAGTTTCTGCTATTTTACAGTCCTTACTGGCTTTTGTTGCCAATCAAAAAACGTATTATTCTACTATCAGAAAGTAGAGATTAAAATGAAGAAAAAACCTACCGATCTTTTGAAAGAACAAATATTTTGACGTGAGAAGTTTCAATTGAAAGTTAGGATTTTTACGGTATTAAGTCAATATAAGGTGGAAAAAAATATATTTGAGTTATTTTTATTTCTCACTTTTTGAAGGTTATGTGAAAAGTTGTAAACCTTTTCATTGTCTACTATTTTGCCATATAACCTTTTCTCTCGTAGTTCTGTCGAAAATCCGGATACACCGTTTTAAACACTTAAAAATTCAATCACGCCCCTTCCTCTTCCTGACCTCAGCTCGCCGATAAATAATTTTTTCTTTCATTTCTGTTATTTTTTCTTTTTCTCCATGAGTTTCATCCTAGCATGATATTTTTTGCTTTCAAAAATTATGGTATAATATTTACAATGAATACTTAAAAGAAATTTTCTAGAAAGTAAACAATCGTATTCGTATTTTGCTTAAAGTAGTAAGTAAGAAAAATATTACTATTTTTGAACAGGTGGCAACGGTGTTCGACAGCATCAACTACAGTAATTTTTGTACACCTATTTAGTTTTATATTCATACTGTTAAGGTATTTTAATAATACAGTTGACAATAGCCTTACTAAAAATATGCACCACTTAAGGCCTACTTAAGCCCCTTTAGAGTAATACTCATAATGCTGTAATTTTTCAACTTACCAAACTTTTTGTGATCAAAATTTTCAAACAGGTGACAATCACCTTACGAAAAATATTTGCAACAGTAAACATGCTTAGACCTCTTTAGTTGAACCTATTGCTTTGTGTTAACAAATCAAACTTTTTGACTTTGAATTTTCAAACAGGTGGCAGCCATTTAATTCTATTTTTAGTACCAAAACATTCGCGTAATAAATCGAACGACCAAAATGCAATATTATCATCGCTTTAACCGTTACGATGATAGTGCTTGGTGTACTACGAGCGTGACGGTTTTTGTTGCGCATCACAATTTCGTTGCAGGCGTT